CTATTAAGATTCATAAGCCAGGTTATCCCATCAAGCCTATAGTAGATTTTAGAAACACTCCGACTTACGAGTTGTCTACATATTTACCAATTGTGTTAGGCCAATAAGAAATCACTCAAAATCTCGACTTACCTACCCGTATGACTTAAAGCACAGATTAGACGACATGCACTAAATAACAGTAAAAAAAGGTTAGTTTTGACATAACTAGCCTTTGCGCAAATAAAACCTATCGACATGGCTCTAGAGGCAGTTAGAAATGGCCTCAAGGATGACAAACAACTTACGCATCGAACTAAGGTGCCGATCGAGGAAATCATACTAGGAGTACGATTGTGCCTAACATCTACAGTTTTTCAGTTTCAAAATAAAATATATAAATAAACTCAAGGTGTTGCCATGGGATCACCAATATCCCCTATCGTTGCAGACATATTTATGGATAGTTGGGAACAGATGGCCCTTCAAACATTTAATCCTACTCCAAAGGTATGATTCCGGTATGCAGATGATACGTTTACATTACTGAAATCGGAACACCAATAGGTTCTTGGCACATATAAATTCAGTAGTGAATGCCATCCAATCTACCTGTGACTTAGAAAATGAAAAAGATGAGCTATCAGTGTTGGACTGCAAGATTAAACAAACACAAGACAGAAGTTTAGAGACTAGTGTCTATAGGAAATCTACCCATTCAAATCGCAACTTAGACTTCGAATCCTCCCACCCCATTTCAGTTGAAGTAGGCTCAGTTAGATGCCTAGGTGATAGGGCAAAACAGCTTACAAGTAGGTCAGAAAATCTACGAAAAGAAATTAGACACACCAAGAATACATTGCGTCTCAACAATTACCCACCAAAATTTATAAATAAGTTCATAAGAAATCGAAAGAAAAGTGTTACCAGTGGTAGCAGTAGTAATACAGGTTTTATTAATAATCACTCCACTACTAGTAGTAATAATGGTGACAGGGTTGAGAGAGAATTCAAAGCCTCTGCTGTGTTACCATACAAGGAAGGCACCTCAGAAGCATTACGAAGAAGTCTCAATAGGGCTGGGATTAAAGTGGCATTCAAACTAACAAACTCTCTTAGAAACAAGCTTTGTAAGTTAGAAGATCCTATGCATGCAACTAAGCCAAATAATTGGGTTTACCAAGTCCCTTACAATGATTGTGAGGTCAAATACATAGGTCAAAGTAGCCGACCTGGATTGATTAGAATAACAGAGCACGAATCAAGATTAGTAGATTAGTAGATCTTAATAAGATAAGAAATTTAGGGAAAAGTTCGGCTGTAGCATTGCACTCAATTACACACAATCACACAGTAGGGTGGGATAGGGTGACAATGTTGAAAACTAACTTAGTTGGGTGGAGAGCGAGATTGATAACCGAATCTTTGTTCATCTATCGAATCAACGCGAAATACATGCAATCGAAATGATTCTGCACCTGTCCCAGATATATGGAAAATTCTACTACCCTTGTCATCACAGAGAAGGAGAGAAAATTAGGAATATATAAACTCTGTCTCGAAGTTGTGGAGTCATCTGATGTGAATATGGACAAAAAATTGTGTCTGAAACATTATTCAGTGAATGATACTGCTTCACTGTGACATTTCTAATAAACAGACTTAAATGGAATGTGAATTGAGCACAGTGTCCAAGTTTTAATAAGACTTTTTTTAAGTTTCCATATGGTTTGATACCAATAGTTTCTTCATATTGCTTCCTTATATTTGAATGGATTCACTTCAATAATTCTCTTTCTATGGAGTTAGACAGTCGTTATTGAAGAGAAAACTAATAAATTCTGAAGATACATTGTTTGCTCATCGTTATTTCTTTTATTTTCCAGTTTATTTTGGAAATTTGTGATTTGACAAAATCGTCGGTAAACGATATTCAAATTTTATCCTATTGAGTGACGAATTATATTTCTATTCCACATCCAGTTTGAGATAAGACTAATTATCAGGAAACCTTAACTCACATGTTAACTTACCTAACTTACGAAACTAATGGAGAGTGATATGACGCACAAAGTTAAACGAAATTGGCAGACATAACTACCATAGTATTCAATGCGTAACAAAGTTTTTTTATTTGAAGTAGATGTACAACGGTTGCACACAAACTATCCACACAATGGACATGAGTAGGTGTGAATGGAATGTAATACAATATTAATATTCTACACACAGAAGGTCGATTGTCGATTCCAACACTATCCCCTAAGATTAAGTAAATGACACGAAATTTGTATGTTCGGGTTTTTACTAGAACGCTAAATACCTTTTCACTTAAATGAAATATGTGAATGTACATAAATTTCATGTTTTGCAAGGCACCAAAAGTAGTTTCATGTAATGCTCGAGAAACTAAGAAGTAATATTGTGAAAATGTCATAGTCAGTTATGTTTTGTGATTAGGGTTTAAACAATAAATTAAGATCATTACAATTACATATTTTCGACTGTAAATTAGCCTCTGCTAATCAATATGCATTAGCAGTGAGTGCTACCAACGCATTCACTTTACGTTGAAGAGGTACCAATCAGCACTGATATATTAGATTACTCTACATGTTATTGATTAAGATGAAAATGAACGGAGGTATGAAACCAGTTATTCTGTATTTCATAAGATGACCGTATTAGTACACTGAGTAGTGTAATGAATAGTGTAAAAGTATATCCTTGATTTCCGTCTGTTGAAGACAATGAGTGGAAAACTCTACTTGACCTGTTTCATGCTTGTTGGCACCCAGCAGGAACCTCGAAGAATCCTACAAAATGAAATTAACTACTCTCCGGTAATCAATCAATTAATGTCCTCGGTTTTTTGCTTCAAAGTGTGAAAAAGATACACATCGTTCCCTGACGTGCTAAAAACTTCTTTGAACAACTGAATTTCATAATCTAGAAGAGACATTTTGCAATCTTTCAACTATGGAATGAGCAACTTAAGTACGTCCATTGGTCACTGTAACTGTGGCTCACAGGTTTAGGCAGTTGACTGTCAAACGGTGGGTCACAATTTTTCGCCGTATTCCACCTACTGAAGTTTGGGTATCTAGTTAATATCACTGAGCCTCAGAAAATTGATGTGGCTCATTGTTTACTGCACCAGTGTTCATGTTGTCGCTGACAGTATTTCGTTTCCATTCGATACGACACAATTCCATGTTGTCTAGTCCTAAGGGCTGACTGAATTCTATCGACCATTTTGTGGTGTGGTCACCAGGCAGCGAGACTTAACATGACCGCCTGAATAACTCAGTGATAACGTCACGGATTTCAACACTGGGCGAGACGAGTTCCATCCTCTCAAGTGACAGGGATTTTTGTAAAAGATCACTTTCGGTTTATTGTACAAATGAGTCACCTTTTAGGACAGTATGATAACAGCTAGGAATAACTCTCAGTGAAATAATGATAAGATGCTTTCTGGCTTTTTTGGGAACCGTAACAAACGTATGGGTAGATGCATCGAGAATGTAAGTTCATTAAACTATATGATTTTGTTAAAAATTCTCAAAATAGCTTTTAAGCTAAATGGAGATAAAAAAGCATCAATAAATTAGTAAAACTTCTGTAGGACTCCACTTGAGAAACTCTGAAAGTATTTACTTATGGAAAACTATCAATGAACTCAGTATATATCAGAAATTTGAGCATATTAGGTGGCCATCTAGAAGGTGAAAGAAGTTATAAACACCAGTATGCGGAAGTTAATTTGTCGCGGTTGAGTGTATACAACTGCATTACTCTGCTGAGAACAGTTATTGATTAACTGGCGAAGAAACTAAACCAATTCGGAAGTACTCAATGGTTTCTACTCCACGTTACACAAACAACAAGACCATGTAACAGTTTAGTGATGGATAGTAGCTAGCAATGAAATCCAGGACGCTCGTTTCATCCTGTTTAAGACTCGGCGGTGGGATGTACTTACCCGTCAATGAGCGATGTTGTTCCAACTGGGACTTGGGACCGACCGCTTCGAACGCCAGAGCGTTATCCACTACACCTCGGAGTCACAATAGGCACTTCCTGTGCGACGGGTAAAGTTTTAATGTTACTGCTTGTATTAACCCGTTGTTGAGTGAACCGAACTGATCGGCAGCAGCATATGGGCTCCATATGAACCCATATACCAAATATAGAGACCAATCAATTCGGTTCACTCAACAACGGGCTAATATTCAAATTTCCTGGTGAACAACAGTGGAATTGCCGCTGGAAACCTGATAGGAAGCTGCTACTAGGGTAGAAGTCTTGGATTTCAACCTTGTTTTATGTTACCGTGAGGGCAGGGCAAACCTCATTGGGCAATTTTATCCTTCACCTTACCGATGAAAATAAGTATCCAACTTTTAACCTAGTGGGTTTATTTTTTGAGGAGAAAGTGTGTATAAATAATGTGTTTTCTGTAAAATAAAGAGTTTTCTTTACACTTATATGCCGGTCTATATCTTCTGATATTCGTGGCTCAGTGAAGTATCAGGTCTGGAGGAGAACAGTAGCTATTCGTATTCAATGTATGTATATGATTGTGCTAATACCATTCTGGTGTTATTCTGTCAGTTACTTCCACTTGGTCACTTCATAATCGGTAATGATGAATGTAATGTAGACCACTAATGAAATTGGTTTCAGTCAGCTGTTATGTTAGGAATGGCCTATTGCCTAGTCTAAAATTAATGTTACGAGGTAAATGTCAGAGCATCTCTTTTTGCCTCCTTCGTTATTTCGGCACTGCTGATATCATACTCTTTATCCTGTTATCTCTCTTGTTTCTGACTTCGATGAAGCTTAGAGTTGCGACCACTCGGACAGATTTGCAATTATCCTAGACCGTATACTGATTATTTTTATCTCCAAGCGTAGAGATGATTACCTGTAAAGATATACGTTTATTGCTGGTCATCTATTGATTTCCATTCTAACTTTTATTTGTATTTTTAGCAAAGTTCATTTTCAGATGGTTTATGTGGATCCTATTGGTTTTTATTAGTGTGGTAACAATCAAAAAATTTAAACAGCTTCATTTGAGTGAACCACAATTTCACAGATGTAAAACTGTGGATACGAACTTGCCCAAACCAGTGTTAAATCATGAACATCCTCGAAATGCTTCAATAATTTTTATCGGTGGACACCAGAGTACAGGTAAACATCTCATTAATACTGACAACTGAATTATACATATGTATTCAGTGAAAATTATTGACCCATGTTGAATTAATCTTGTTATCATACTATGGATTATATTATATAAGTGGGAAGACTGTTCATCTTTGCATCATTTAAACTTGATACAAAATATAAAGCTTCTATAATTTGACCGGGACGATATTCAACCATTAGGTGTCCTTTGAGGAAATTGTAGTGAATATACAAGCTTCAGTAGTTATTTGTCCACTTCACTGATGTCAGGCTCTGTAACCTAACATTCAATCAGTACGATACAGCTGAGACAGTTTTTTGAGTATATTAAACATAGTTTTGCAAATAATAGCAGGTAAGATGAAAGCCTGAGTCATAGCATAAATGAAACTAAAGCCCTCTGGAATACTGAACCATGACACTACCAAATTCACTACTTTCCAAGCCAGGACTTCTCATTGTAATCCAAATCAAGCTGAATTACAGAGGGTGAGCATCTGACTGAGCATTATAAATTCAGGTAATTTGAGTGTTCAAGCAGCCACAGTGTGTATTAATTTACTGAATATTGGATTCACTTATTTACGGCGGTTAAATTCCTATGGGGCAATAATTGCAGTAGACATCACAAGAATGTTTGTACTTCTCCAGTTTGGCAGTTGTTAGTGTCTGTAGCCAAAAATCAATGAACTCTTACAACTAGATAACTGTACTGAAAGTGCTTGATAGTGTATGTTTACTGTTTAGCCTGAATATTTGTGATTTCTCACCTTACTTCGGAACCATCACTTCTTCTATACATAACAGAACATGAATCTTTCAATAACTATATTTCTAAAGTAATGCCTTTTTAATTTACCGACAAATGAAACAGGATTATTTTAGAATGCTGTCGTCTCTTGTGGGAGAGAAAATATTTAACCCGTACCAATTCATTACTTTTGACTGACATATCAAGTATCACAGTCATCGTATCCTTTATTACCGATCTACTTCAAACTTTGAAAAACAGCATTTGGTGCATTCTACTACAGTACTAAATAGAACAAGTGAAGATTGTTTTCTATGAGTATTTGATAAAATGAAATAGTTTGTATTCTTCATGAAAATAGTATTTAAAACAATTAGTTCCTTTGATAAATTCGAACAGTGTAGTGAGAAGATGAAGATTATCTCATAATCTAGATATTCTCATTATGCTATTAAAACGGTATTAATTAAGGATCAATTTGCTTGGTTTGGGGTTGTAAGCAGTAGAAATCAGTAATTTTGTACAAATTATGACAGCTGCAGACACATTAACCGGAACATATATATCCTATCATTCATTTCAGTGGGGAATTTATACTGACTGCAATGAAATCTTGATTTGTTCATCAACTGAAAAAGACTGAATAGATTTCAAATCTGCTTAAGTTTTAAGATAGTAGTTAATGAACTGTCACAGATCTCTTGAGTCAAATTTCTCTGTTGAATACTTTTTGTGTATTAAAATTTAATGACAATCTATGGAAATACTTTCAGCAGCCTTGTGCTCATTCTTCCAGTGGCCAATGTGCCACACCTATTTTGTATGCCTAAAGTTCATTAGGGGAAGCAATGTTCGAACCCCTGACTCATCGGTTGAATGTCGACTACCTAAACCAATAAGCTACAGTTCGACGCATAGAATTTGATTAATCTTCATCTAATGTCTAACATAGTATTCCGAATTCAGTGGACTATTTGCAATTCATTCAGTTATAATTTGGTTTTAAATTGAACATGCTATCAATGTATATTTATGGTCAGGATGATGTCCTTAACTTTATACTAGCTGCTTTATTGACATATATTATGTGCCATTCCTATATCAGGTTACATGATATAGTTATATAATTGCTTCCATTGTAAATAGTGGGGATTCTTATCATAAAATGGTGTCGAAATGTGAAAATACCATTGGATAGTTGTAACTAGTCAAAGTTACTTTTCTTGATGGGATCATGGGTATACACTGCTGAGGAGCCCCATACTAGGACGAAACAGTTGTCCAGTGCTCCCAGGTTTTCAAAGTTCCTCCAACCAAAGTCAGTCTATAATGAATACCAACCTGAAATTAATAAATCCCTAGAAACCACTAAACTAAATAAACTTACTTGAACTGAATCGACCTCTTATCCTTTAATCGTTTTGTTTTTGTTCTCAAGTCGAATAAATCCACTTCAACTTATCATTGATATCATACTAAGGTCATTATTGCAGTTCATTTACTCACTCAAAATGGTTATGTACTTTATTACGTTAGAGATACTTTCATAATTCATGAAAAACTACTAGAAAGAAATTTTTTCAGATTAGGCTTTTTGCTTTGATGAAAGTGCTATGGTAGAAAAACTCAGCGACACCAGAAAGTAGTATGTTTCGCCTCAGCATCTTTGATACTCCTCAAACTTGAGATACTTACTCTAAGTATGATGGAGAATCTTAACCTGCCTTGAGATTTTTATAGCTCTTTGAGGTTAATTTGTACATTATAGGTGCCAAAAAGATTGCCTAATAATGCTTCTACTGTTTGACAATTTATCCCTTATGTCCGTGAGAAGGAAACTGATTTGTATTGTTAAAGCAGATATGAAAACTGTTTTACCCGAAGAAAGGTGTTACTGTTGAACCTGAAATTAAACTACACTCTTCTGTGCATAATGTACGGAAATGTTGGGAGGGAAAAACAAATTTTATGCTTAACATACGTTACTAATTCACTGATACACTGACCGAAAACGATCTGCATAGTTTATAGTTTATCAATAAAATTAGCTGAAAGTGGCATGCATTTACGAATAGATAATTACGACCGATATTTGAAAAATATCTTCAAAGCAATACTGTAGGAAACATCAGGCATATATATTCAATAACTCTGATGAGGTAGACAAAGGAAATTCCAAAAGACTACTTTTCCACGTTGTTAGTCAGTAATGATAGTGACAACTAAGGGTGGTGTTCAGGAGGTCACACCATTTTTGAAATTTTATTTGTCCCTTGGGTTCCTGGTGGAACATAGGGCTTCAGCAGCACGTTGCCATTTCACTCTCTTCTCTGCAGTCGTTTGGGCCTGGCTCCACTACCGATCACAAGCTTTCATTTCTTCCTCACATCATCTCCTCCATATCACCCTCGGACGCCCTACTCGTTGTTTCCTATTTGGGTTCCACTCGAGGGCCTGGTGTGTGATGTCCCCAAATGGTCTTCTCAATGTATTTCCAATCCAATTCATTTCCACTTCTTTCTGTATATTTCTTGGGTAATAGGTTTTTGGTTGGCTCGTTGCCAGCCAGCTAGAGTGAGTTCCTTGTTCCTTATTCTTATTATTCTGCCATCTGGTCTTCAGTATTGAGTAAGCGTAGGCAGCAGCTGTTGATGATGTATATCTGCAGTTTGTTGGAAATGCTTTTCGTGAGGCACCAACTCTCTGAACTATCACACAGAAGCACTGAATCGACTGAATTGGTGTTGAAAATCTGGATCTTGTTCTTTATGTTCTGGCTGCTTTGACATCCTCCACTGCGCCGCCGCCTGTGGTTTAAACGATGCTGGCTTCCCTGGGTAGGTGAAAGAGACAACTTCCATTAGATTTCTGTTGTTGATGGTCACTGGTACTTGTTGTTGTTGATTGGGTATCTTTATCACCTCCGTCTTTTCTATTTTCACCTGAAGTCCCGTCTTCTTCTGCTAGCTTGTTAGTTTTTGCCTGTAGGTCTTCGAGTTAGATCACATAATGTTACCTCAGTATTTTGGTTTCTCTAGGAAACCACATTGCGATTTCTCAACAGGGGTTGCGTATTCCGTAGATATTTGATGTGATATTAGGTAAAATTCCTCTACAAATACATCGTTCAATACATTAGATTGAGGAAACCGTTTCTTAAGATGTGTCTATCACTTTATCAACCGATAAAGTTAAGACGGGATTGAACCCAACTACTTCAATCGCAGTGGAAGTTGTTAGGAAAACTCAAGAAAAAAAGTAACAGTGTAAGAAGTTTAGGGAAGAAGAAACTTAGAGTAGTTTATTATACCATGCAGACCTAACCAGCCATTAATTCCTACGACTTAACATTCTGTCAGCATTCTCTCGTATTTGTGCCTAATTTTTTGAGTAGTTCTCATGTCATATTCAGTTAGTTGGCTTACTTTTGAATACACCGTCAACTTTGAACATAAATTTAACATTATATAAGCCATTAGAATCATAGTCAGTCAACGTATATTCCAACTTATTAAAAAATGGAGTACTTTTTAGTTAGTTAACGTATATATCAATAAGCTGATAATAATTCAAGGCAATTTACTTCAACATACCTAAGTTTTAACGGTGGTAAAAATGAACATTTTGCAGTTAGTATAGGAAAGAAATGAGTGTCTGGTCTACCAATGAGCTAAACATATGTTAAAGGTGTCCGGATATTTTAAAACACCTACCTTGAGTGAGAATCTTGCTTATGTTTCCCATGAGCTGCTAATTCGATGATAAATTCTGATAGGTTGAGAATGAAGTTTCTTTCTATACAATATTCCTTACATAAGATCACCTCTGGATTTTACACACTGTTGGTTATTATTGCTTTATGTTGGTTTCTGCCAAACCATTATACTCGGTAAGTGAAACGTTTTCTTCCCCTAACCAGTTGTGAGTAATTAATTAATTTTTCAGGTACTGGACTTATGCGAATAATTTTGGATGTTCATTCAATGGTACGATGCGGTCCCGAACCTATCATAACTTGGGAAGTTATGAATTTCAGAAAATCAGCGGAGTCATATCAAAAAAGGTTGATGGAAGCTGGAGTTGATTCACATGTCTTAGATGAAGCCACAGCTGCATTCATTGTCTCAGTGATTGAGAATATGGGTCCACCTGCTGTGCGATTGTGTCACAAACAACCTGGAATTTACTATCATCTCCGTGATTTAGGTGATCTATTTTATGAAGCTAAATTTATTCACATGATTCGAGATGGCAGAGCAGCAGTGTTTTCAACCGTAGCGTAAGTTAACAAGGCATGTTGGATAACATACAAGTGAACAGTATTATGATTGTCATTTATTGTTATGGAGAATTCGGATAGAAATTGACCTGCGATTTAACCGTATCTTGAGCACACATCCTTGTTGCATGCAGTTGGTATATTCCCTTAGCATTCAAACACAGTCAGCTGAAAAGTGTAGCAGTAGCTGCGTTATACTGACGTTTCTTCAGATATTGGTAATTAAAATCAGATATTGTAAATAGATAACAATTTTTAATTAGACTGTCTTCAAGTCATACTCTTAAGCACATTAGTCACTCGCTCGTTTTCTCGCTATCACTTTATATATAAAGCGCTAAACAACTAGGTGTGTTGGTCAATGATAACAAGGATGTAAGCCAGAATGTTCATAAAAGTAGTAACTTAGATCAGGATAGTGATAGTAGTGGCAAAAGCAACAATAATATAAATGTTGGTCATAAAAATGAAATCGCAGATACCTCAAGGACTAAAATAGATAAAGCAACTTGAAAAACTATACTATGTACCTAAAGAATATCCGTTACTACTAGCAGAAGCTTAAGTAATTTTGACTAATAGTATGAAAACAGTAAATATGACGAAAAGCATAAACTAGGTTAGTTAATTCCACTGTGTTTGAGCAAGGTAGGGATATAGCGCGTAAAAGATCCCTCTGAAGATGAGGATTAAGGTCATTGGGTCATATTCCCATGTTTCAAGCTATGTGTATAAGTTCGACCCTCGAAATCTTCGGTTAGTGATATGAATGCCTATGAATGTTTTGGTCTTCTACTGTGCAACCAATACCAACGAAATGCAACAAGACTGAGCTCATTATCATTTTCAACCATTTTTTCCCTAGTCAAGAATACAGATGCTTAGTATGCCATATGAAAAGTTGTTCGGTTGTCAGTCGTTTCTACACAGTTATAAAGCTGAAATTATAAATGTACGTAAAGATAATAAAACCAGATAATTCACCATTCTACTTCCTATCAACTAGAAAATTATAAGCAGAGCTTTATAGCATTAAAAAGTCTTCAAATAGCTGTAGTTAAACTTTGATGTGAAACATTGTTCGTTGTACTTTCACTGTAATAAAGCTTTAGTCACAATTAAACAGTTCGCGACTAACAACTTCATTCCAGTTTGGCTACATGAGTATTTTTGAAGATGACAGATTAACCTGTTGGGTTCATTGCTTAATAGATATATTCCTAATTCTGTGGTGTTTAATCATCACAGCATATCTTTTTCGTTCCGACAGCATAATATTTGACCAAGCTTATTTTTTGACTGAATAGGTTCCAAACCACAGAAATGTATCTACTAACCTGTTGATTTGATGCTCCTGATTACACTTCTGATGACTAAATCGCCCTGTCTTCTGATGAACAAAGCATTCATGAAGTGTAAACTATTTCTGACAAAACAGAGAAGTTTACATGTGTTAAGACTCATTGCCAACACCAACGTCAAGTCAGTGCTCTTGTATGGCTCAGAGACTTGGCGCGTCACGAAAGGCATTTCCAATAAACTACAGACATTCATCAACAACTGCTTACGCTCGCTGCTGAAGATCAGATGGCCAGTAAAAATAAGCAACAAGGAACTCTGGGAACGAACCAACCAAGAACCTATCACGCAACAAATATGCAGGAAGAAGTGGAGATGGATTGGCCATGCACTGAGAAGGCCGACTGAGGACATCACGCGTCAGGCCCTCGAGTGGAATCCCCATGGGAAGCGACGAGTTGGACGTCCGAGGGTGACATGGAGGAGGTCGTGCGAGGAGGAAATGAGAGCTTGTGGGCTGTCATGGGACCAGGTTCAAAAGATCTCAGAGAACAGAGGTCACTGGAGGCGTGCTACTGAAGCCCTATGTTCCACTAGGAACCCAAGGGACTAATAAATAATAAATAAAAATAAATAAGACTCATTGCCAATAATAAAAATTGTTCAGTAAAATTAAGAGTCGAACATTTTCAGCTAGTCGATGATTATCTTCAAAAATTCATTATCTGGAGTATACTTTTTCGCTGAAGAGGTTGGGGAATTTTGTAAAAATAGGCGTGATGGAGAAACTATAACCACTTTACCTGTTTATCGGTGCATGAAGATGTTCTTCATTCGGTTAACCGCCTGGATTTCAACCAGCAGCCTCAAATCATGACTAACAAAAAGAAGTTTCAGCCATCAGGTAGCATCGTCAGCTGTCAAACAATACGTGTGCATCATTGCTTAGAGCATAAACGTTCACTTGGTTGCTGAGACATTTCATTTAGTTCAGTTTAGTTTATCAGCGATATGTTATTGTCTGAGTCAAAGTGTACAATTATAGCACTAGTCAAAGCACCTCTTCGAAACTAGGGCCTAAACATTTTGCATTTCTTTAACATCTGCTATTCTGGCAAATGCTGAAGTAACCAATAAGATTTCGGTATATCAGTTGGGAAAGTAGTTTTCAATAAAATATAGAAGACTAATTGGTTATCTCAGCAGTTGCTAAGGTGGTCCTTAATGTTACTCGTTTACAGTAACATTCACAGTCTAATACATGTGAAAAAATTCGAAGATGCTGAATACATTGTGCTGTATGACGTTTTTTTGCAACGGGTTTAGAAACTGGAGAAGACACCTTTTCAACTACTTGGATTGGTAAATGAAACGTCTCAAACTAGATTGAGTGGGACCTTCGAAGTATGCTCCTTAGTTAGGCACTTCATACTCTCATGGTATGCTGAATACAGTTGCCTCGAGTACTATCTGTACATGTAGACTCTGAAATTATCTACATGCATTCCCACTCCTAAAGTGTTGGTTAGTCGTTTCTCTGCTTTTCCATGTAAACCTACATCTTCATCAAGTACTCACATTTCGCAGTGTTTCTCGATATTTTTGCATCAGCAAACTATTTATTTTGGGATAACTCATAGTTTTGAAATTTCAGTAACTGTTAGCTAGTGCAACTTCGAATCCATCAAGTTGATTGTCAGCTGATGGAATCAAATAGTATAACAACAATTAAATCATCAATAGTTCTCAGACTGATGTCAGTCAGTCGGTGATGATGACCACCTTGAAATCATCAGTCAATCCCGACAAACCTCAAAATCGCATTACTTCATGGTGCTCACTAGTGACATGCTTCAAGGTGGACTTGTTGAAGTTCAAACGAGAAGTGGTGACCTGTGGTGTCAGCAAGTTAGTTAGGTGTGAGCACAAATATTAACTGACAGGATTGTAGGATAGTCGCACCATAACTCGAACTGAAGGAAGTAGGAGAATATGAACCGCTAGAATCCTACCTAGTGGCTGAAAGATAACTTGGTTGCCATGAGACCTGATGGTCCTATATGTGGCTACTGGTAGGATGATGAGTGTGTACTGCTGCACGACAAAATGACTATCCAGTGCTCCAACGTTTTCAATGGTTCTCTACCTAGTGTCAGTCCATGATGAATTCCACTCATAAAATGAGATCATTTTGTCATTCAAAATAGAACCGCATTATTCACTACAGACAAGTTGAACAACTGATCGGATAGCCGATTATTCACACGCAGTGAATACCCAAGAGAATGTGAACATCGATTCACGTGTATGTAAATCTGACGGATGATTTGGTTCAGCAAGTATAAAGACTGGATTGCAAGTCATATCATTCAGTAGCTATGATAAACACATGAAGACTCATCAAAAGATGGATGCCTAGCCGTCTGAAGATCCAATGAACATTCTAGATTAAGCATCGCGTTTGGAGTCTTACTAAATACGTTGACAATGAAAGCTCAATCTTTCTGAGTCATTAAGGTACTACTCCAGTTATTCATTCATTCATTCATGCGTTCACAAGTTTGACATGTTGGTGAAGGAACTAGACATTGGGTAATTTCAGTGTAACTTTAACCTTCAATTTGAATTCCTTATCATTTGATTGGAAGATAATCATGTGATTGAGTGACTGATTCAGAGTTTCATAGAGATCACTATCAGTCATGGAGGATTCCAAAAATTTCTTGATGGTTGGTGGAGAAACCGAAGGAGAATCAATGGAGGGATATTTTGCATCGCAATCTGATTACACTGCTAGTATTTTTAGACCTGAATTGTAAGGGGTTAAGAAAGGTGTTGGATTGCATAGGCCTTTCCTATCCATGGGTGACAGATTCACACTCCCTTTCAACCACTGGGTATGACTTTGTATACGATTTGGAGAGAAGATTGTGTGGAAGTGACTTGAACAAAGGTGACCAAATAATCCTAGATGAACCTGTTGCCTCATTTGATTTTGCAAAGATTGCTTATCAATGGGCTTCTTCTTCACAGATCTAAGGAAGAATAAGCATCCCGTTACAGCAAATAAACTGAATGATATTCTGCTGTTTCCTGTTCAACTTGCTATGGTGAACTGACAAGTTAGTTTCTTGAAAAGCTGTAGAGGGAAACATGACCGTACAACACTGGTTTGGAAATACGTCCGTCGAAATCAGATTCATCAGAACCACGTTTCTGTGAGTGGTCTAACACAAAGATTCTCCTGGTTAATAGTTAAGTATACTGCTACATATCACTTTCGCATCCTCCAGTTGTTTAAGTCCAGTTATCAGATATTCACCGTGATTATGGAGAGAGATGGTACGTGCAAGAACTTTACTCTCTTTGTATATTGTAATTCGACTTTGCTAGGATATTGGTGAATACAGTGGCCATTTCCACTTCTAAAAGAAATTGGTAGAAGTTGAATCAAACGTTGTCAATCATTCACTGCACCATAGTTGTGTTATCTGGCATTCATGACATGATTTAACTGTTCACTTAATGAAAACATATCCACCATCTACAATGTGATGTTGATGTAGTAACCTGTTGAAGTAGTGGTAAGTAAGTGGAAGACTGTCATCAATATGAAATCAGATTTTCTGAACACTCCACATTGTTTGTATGGTTGCAAGGTCGTAAAAAAGACTCATACCTGTACACCTAGATACAATTTATTGATGCCTGTTCAGTCCATGAAACGGCTACCCACAAAAGTGAACTTGTGCTTCACCTTAGTGTGCGTAAACAATTATATATTTCATAGAGGATAGCAGGTAGTCAGGCAGTTAGTTCAGTGTTTGTCATCCAGTTTGTGAGCTCTCATCAGTACAGTATGACAATACAACAGTTTTTTTGTTGTCAGCACTCACCAACCACACACACACACACATATTCGATGTGCGAGTACTATCTATTTGTTGAGATGGGTAAGGATTCAGTTAACCGAGATGATCTTATCAACCTGTTGACTAATGGATTGGTTGATTTCAGAAAACTGACTGAATACTATCAAGAGTAATAGTAAACATTCCTGGAAATGAACATCTTTGTTTGAAACAGTTTGATCCCTTTATGAATTTCTAAAGAATGATGGGTAGAGGTGACCTGTTTGAATTGTCCAGTGTATTTGAGTAACACACTTCCAACAATCTGGTCATATGTATACTTATCTAATGTATCTATATAAA